AGGGAAGGGAAGGGAAGGGAAGGGAAGGGAAGGGAAGGGAAGGGAAGGGGAAGGGAGGGGAGGGGAGGGGAGGGAAGGGAAGGGAGACAACAATGAAGAAAAACTGAAGCATCCAGGGAGAAACACAACTAAGGTGGGGTGAAAGGCTTGAAAAGGTGAAAAGGAACGGGACAAGACGTAGGACAGCTTCAAGCATGCCTGTGCCACTCAGCTCAAGAGGCTTGTTTTTGTAAGCCTGGCACAAGGAAGATCTGGGCACAGAGGAAAATGTGCTGACTCCTGCCTGGGGCCATCAGAGGACAGAAACAGATCAATTAGCCTGGGTGGAGTGCCGCTGCCAGTGACCAGTGGCCGGCTGAGCCAGGCCAGGCCAAGGACTCTTACATGATCATTGCACTGTTAAAGAGCCAGTGGCTCGGGGCAGCCTGGGTCTTTTACCTTCAGAACAGCCCCGGGATCACACCCCTCTGCTGGCCTGGCCGCTAGCTCTGTTCCAGGCTCCGCTGAGAACCCAGTTAGACTCAGCCCCTTGGAGTTTGAACCCATTTCAAGGACCCCCTAGGAGTCAGCACAGCCCAGTACAACCAACCCATAGGGTAGTCCTTGGGCATGTTTGTGGGTGGAGCAATAGTCATTTGGAGCAGGACAGTCCCATGGATCTTCAACCAGCAGAAAAACATGCTCTAGGGAGAAAGTTTTCTGTGCCAAGAGACCTTTGGAACAAAAGCTAGGCCAAAGCTGGGACTGAGACTCCGTGTATTTGGTACGTCTTCACCCACTTTTGAGCATCTGCCTCGCATGGCCACTGTGATGGAGACAGGGGACGCAGACAAGAGCAGACACACATTCAGTGTCCTCTGGGGAGAACAGTGGCCAGGCAGCTTCCCCTGCCCAACTAAGGGACTGCTTCATTCAGAGCTCAGCAGGGAGCATGGCTGGTCCTGTTGTGAGGCAAGCAAGGTGCTTAGCAAGGGAGACAGACGTTTGAGAACAGCCTTAAAGGCTGAGTAGGACCCACAAGGCGGACGAAGTGTAGGAATCCAAGGTAAGGCAGGTAGAGGTGAAAGGTGAAAGGTCAAAGGTGTGAACTGACATGGAAGTTGGATAGTAGCGCGCAGGCCCGGCCAGACAAGGCATATAGGTGAAGAAGAAATCAGGTAGAAACAGACACCCGTCAGAGACGATAGCGGACGTGCTAGTCAGAAGGAGCTTGAAGGAGTGCACACGTCATCTGCTCAGCTGACGTTTTCAAAGAGCATTTGTGTATGAAGGGGTCGGTAGGAATTGGACAAGTTGGAAGAGCACCTAGAACTGGGCCTGGGAAGGAGGTAAATCGAGGCAAATGCTCAACCCCAGGAGAACCCGATGGCGGTTGTCCTCACTGGCGGCTTTTTCTTGTAGAGGCCTTGCCCTTTATGTCTGCTCAGGCATTTCCTTTGCGTCCCTGCCACCTTAGCCGTGGCCTGCTTTCTCTCTGTGGGGTCCTCGTCAGCACTGACCATCTGGCTCGTCTCCCTAGAGCTAGGTCATAAGAGCTTCCTGTCAGGGCCATCTTCCTCAAACAACGGCTTTTAAGGAAGCATTTCCACAGTTGGCTCATCTTGGAGAAAGGGCAGTAAGCAGTAAAAGCTAGCCTTCTCCCGTTTAAAAACACGAGCTTGAAAGGTGCAAGATCTCCCCCTCCACTCTGTTAGCATTTACCCAGTCAAGATATTCTATCTGGAGCTGATGAAGCAGGAGAATTGCAAGCTCAAGTCTGGACTGGACTGTGCACTGAGAACGTGTCACCACCAAAACAGAGCATTTTCCCGAGTGAAACACATGGATGTGTGCATTACACTGACATTCTTATTCATAGCAAATACTAATGCATACTTTTTTTTTCTTTTAAGGATCTATTTTGTTTTGTTTGTTTTTGTTGGAGCTGAGGACCGAACCCAGGGCCTTGCGCTTACTAGGCAAGTGCTTTACCACTGAGCTAAATCCCCAACCCCTTAAGGATCTATTTATTAATTTATTTTACATGACATGCGTGCCTTGAGTTTATCTATGTGTTCCATATGTGTGTAGGTAAACCTGCAGGCCAAATGGGGTCATTGGATTCTCTGTCACTAGGGTTACAGGTGACTGTGAGCTGCCCGATGTGGGTGCTGGGAACCAAATCTAAGTTTTTTTTGTTTTTTTTTTTTTTTTGCTTTTCGAGACAGGGTTTCTCTGTGTGGTTTTGTGCCTTTCCTGGAACTCACTTGGTAGCCCAGGCTGGCCTCGGACTCACAGAGATCTGCCTGGCTCTGCCTCCCGAGTGCTGGGATTAAAGGCGTGCGCCACCACCGCCCGGCCAAATCTAAATTCTATGCAGGAGCAATAAGCACACTCTTCACTGCTAAGCTGCTTCTCCAGTCCCAACATATAATTTTTTTTTAATTTTAAAATATTCTGTGAAAACAACTCCATTTCCACATCTTATTTTGAAGTCTAGCATTCTATGGACTCGATATCTTGCCACTTGCTTTACTGTTGACAGACATTGACGACGATTTGACATGTTTGGTTGCTCAAGCGGCACTGTCACAGACAGCCTCACGCATGAATCCTTGCATATTTTTGCCACTCTTGCTATAGCATGCATTCCTGGAGGTTAAGATCGTTAAATCTAAGAAACCATGCATCTATAATCTTATTAGGAACTGCGTCGTTCCTTTTCCGAAGACCATGCTGGTCTATACTCCAACTGGCAATTGTTTGATTGTCTCTCCCCCATCCAGCCCTCCAGCAGCAGAACGGTCACAGCTTGTGACAGCTACTGAATGCCAGAACCAAGATCTCCTGTCCTGCCACCATGCAAGAAGGTGACGCACGTAAATTAGTAAGAGCAGGGCCTAGCACAGAGTAAACACTCACCAGATATTTGCTATTGCTTTTAGTAAAGCACCTTGCCCAAGCTGAGAACCATTCAAGCTTTTGACAGCTGGTTTAGTGCAGAAGACGAATTGGAAAGGAGAGAAGAGAGTTGTGAAGAGGCTCCTGATTGGTCTCCCTGTGCCGGAAGGTAAGGCTTGGCCTCCATTCCATGTATACTCTGCCATCTTGGAACCTCAAATTTAAATGTGTTGATTCTCTGTCCGCCACACTACTTTCCCCATGGGACAAAAAAAAGTGAAAAGGAATGTCCTCCTTCTTCCTACAGAGACTAATGATGATCGACTCAGATGAGGGAGGCACACTCACTCACATGCCCACTGGGAATGAGAACCACAGCTTTCGGAGGCAACATTCACTCAGCTGTTTAATGGCCGAGGGTTTCCTGGGAAAAGAGACAGGCACTGCACAGAAGCCGGGTTGTTACTGTTTTTCAAGTGTTTTCTCCTCCTCAGTGAGGATGGAAACTCTAGAGAGGACAGACTAAACCTATTCTATTACCCACCAGAGCGGCAAGGGTGGAGAAGAGCTTCAGAAGCCACTCAATATCCACAAAGCAGGGACACACATCAGGACTGGTTTTTGGTCTAACTTTAGGAAAATTAAAGCCACACCTCCTGGAAATGGATTGATGAAATTACTATGTGAATATTTATTTCAGTCAAAATTTACCTTTGCAAATGATGAGCTGTGCTCAGAGCTGTCTTGGGCCGGAACAGCGCTAGCTATGCCTGCCCATTTCACCAGACCAGGCCTCTTGGATCTGGGTGGGCCAGAGAGAAATGTCTGGGGAAATGGGATTGCAGAAGGTAACAGTTATTGGAACAATTTGGCCCCAAAGCCAAGGATGCCTCAATCAATATGCATGACTTTCAAAATTCCTATTTTAATCAGCGAAACGGAAATGAAATTCCCAATGTAGCTTTTAGTTAAAAAAATAAATTACAAGTGGTATATGATATTCATGCATACCATTTCCTCTGAAGTTCTTTTTAAGAATTGAAGAAAATAACCATATCACATACTGGAAAGAAACTAGCCTGCGAGTCCAGAGATTTAGTTTCATGCCTTAAATCTACCACCAGGCAACTATGGGATCAAAAGTTATAAGTTGCCACCTTACCTCTTTTCCCTCATATATGGATCAAAAGAGCTGGCGATTTGTAACTTCCCCTCAACCCCCATAAGACTGAGTTGCTAAGTCCTATTTAGTGTCAAGAACTTATCCATCCATTTTTCACTCATGCATCCTTTTCACAGACATTTAGTGAGTTCCGACCTGGATGGTGCCCATGTGATGTGAGTAGACAGGTCATGGCATCATCATGCTTCAATGCAACCAGACACATCTTCGGTAGACTTTGACCCCCAACTCCTCCTCTGCCACTGGCCTCGCCTTCAACAAGTCTCATTTTTTCTTCCATTTCTGCTCAATCCTACCTCTCCCTTCTCCTCCCTGCTGCCCCTCTTCCGGCCCTGCCTTTTCTCATATGAGCTGTGGTGAAGAAAAAAAAAAATCCTAACAGGCCTCCCAGCTGCTATACTTTTCCTTCCAAATACATGCTCCACGCTGTGTCCACAGCTGTCTACAACTTTCCATTTCAATCAACATTTTCTGAAGGCTTGCTGAATGACCACACTGTTCCTGGGCCTTTTAAGCACTGCACTGTTCAGAGGAGAAAACCGACACGTTGCTGGACATGAAGACGTGATGTGGGGCTGTTGGTGTGGGGGGTGCTCCAATGTTAGCCTCTCCGTTCCCTCTCACAAAGGCTTCGCCTTAATAGTCCCTTTCTTATGCCTCTAACCCCTCACACTTCACGTCCCATTACCGTTCCTTCTCCAACTGTTTCTTTACGCCAGGCTTAGCAACTCAGTAGCAGGGAACCAATGAGCAGGAGCTGTCCTTTCACAACCTTGAATGGCTCCCTTTTGTCCTCAGGGAGAAAGCCAGACCCTCGTCCTGGGCATCCAAAGCCCTTTAGAGCTTGATACTAGCTTTCCAGTGAATTCCGCTAATGCACTCACCCTCTTTCTCTCATCCCAACTTTATATCTGAAGTCTCATCCTTCCGCCACAAGACAGTATGACCTCAGCGAGGGCTGTCACTTCCCTCGCTCTTGAAGCTAAAGCCACCACCTCTTCCAGGAAGGCCCAATACAGGTTGGCTGCCTGGAACATCTTAGCCTCTCTTCAGAGGCTAGTTTGAGTTCTATCTTTTGTAAGAGTTCATGCACCCATTCAGAAAGAATTTTTACCCACTCCCTGATGTTTCTTATGGTAAATATCCTGATGTGTGTTGAGGTCTCTTTCCTGCTTACTTGCTATAACATGGACTTTTAGGAAGACCTGCCTGTATCACTTGGATTTTAAGGTCTTCTGCTGTACAAAGAACTTAGTGCCTGATGCTTGAGCTAACTTTGCATGGGACAGCTGTCATATGCCAGTTACTGCACGTGGCTTATGACACTACGTCTTTTTTAGTTTTCATTGGTGGATATGAAATCCAGGGCCTTGCACATACTGGGCAGGTATTCTCCCACTGAGTCATATGCACCCACTCAATCTTTCATGACACTTCATGCTTACAACAGATGATGAAACCGGACGCAGAGAAAGGTTAGGGGAACTACTCAAGGCATCAGCAAGTAATGTAACTAGGGTAGCATCAAGAATACCTCCTAATAACCTGGCTCGCTACTCCCTACAAGAAGTTACTGTCCTTACTGGATGTCTTACAGATGTAACCATCTGGAGAAGTGGAGACGCATTTAACAAACATCCTCATTATGGGGGGCGGGGGGGTTCTGAGGTGTTCAGAAGGGAGTGGCATCTGGTCTTGTTGCTGAATGATAAGTAGCCATTTGACGAAAACCCGCAAGGATAGTGTAGGAAAAGAATACAATTAGAGCTGGGTCCCCCAGTGAGTACAAGGGATGCTTCTGAGGAGAAGAAAACTATTCCTTCAGGTCCCCAGCCAGATTGTTAGGAGTTTAGGGAGGGAACCGCCTTGTTCTTGCCCCAGGCTCTAACTCTGTTTGGGTCCAGACGGCGCTCATTGGATAAATATGTCACAGGAATCACTCTGCTCAGGAAACACTATGTGAGCGTCTCCTGCATCCACAGTGGCGGTAAACAGGTTTGGATTCTCAGCACTCTGGCTGCCTCTGTGAAGGCCCGAAGAAGCTCTGACCGAATCGTAGACTCCAAAAGTGAAACCGCAGATCCTAGAGAGTTTCCCTGACCATCCCTGTTCCCCTGACTGAGAAACAACAAAACAAACAAGCACCAACAGCACAAGCTATGAAAAATCAAAAAGAAAAAAATCTTCTTCATTTTCAGTCATTTGAGACTCGAGGGCTTCCATGACGTCAGTTTATTTCCAGATTTTGTGTGTGTGTGTGTGTGTGTGTGTGTGTGTGTGTGTGAGAGAGAGAGAGAGAGAGAGAG